GGAACTCAGTCGTCAGGTTTGGCCGCAAGTGCCTTCACTCCGAGTCATCTTGCCGCCCTGAGGTGCTTATTCATATAAACCAGTTTAGCCCCCTGCACGCCACGGTTCTGCTGAAGAGTAGCCAGCTCCAGCAGAGCTAGGAGAACACTCCCGGTGATTGGAAGAAAAAGTAGTGACCTGTCATTGATCATTTATATTTTTCAGTTCTCGCTGTTCACACGTCTTTCCTGTTTGTTGTCACAAAGCTGTCCCTAATCCGCCCCCCCCCCCAAACTGTCCTCACACAGGGAGTTGAAAATACTTAGTCTGACTGAGCACAATTGACTTGAGAAGCAAACAGGGGGTGGGGACTTAGAGCCTTAAAAAAGCCACACTCCCGAGGACGTGGCCCCACCCCAGCCCTGAGGTGCCAAGGAGGCAAGTGAGGGAAATGGCATTTTATAAGAGTCTAGCGCTGGGGCTGCCGGCAGGGTTAGCTGCGCATTTGTGGGCTGACTGTTCTCTCCTCCGCAGGGTTCTCCAGCCTACAGCAGCTGCAGCCCAGGACGCCTGGGGACCCGACTCCCCCGGGAGCGGATGGCAGTAGCAGGGGGTGGGCTATAAAAACCAGTTTTGTCTGGGAACAAAAGGCATCAATCAAGGCGCTGTCTTCGGCCTTTGATTTGGAGAAGTGTGTGTGTGTGGGGGGGGGAACCCAGCCCCCTTCTGGGCATCTCTCTTTGCAGGCCAATCAACTGGCGAGTTAACAGGACCGGAGCCTGACTGTGCAGAGGTCTTCTTCAGGCCTATCTTTGCTGAAGTCACTCGTGTCTGTATCTGAAGTTGCCCACTGGACCCACTGTAGAAGCCAGCTTCTCTGTAGGTCTGAAAGTCCCTGATGGCATTAACTTTTCAAAGGCATTATATGGTGAAGGAACCAAAGGAAGTAAGACCCAAGGGAAGCAACTGAGGTCACAAAGACCTGGGTCATGTCTGAGTCAAAGTTCAATCTAAATAGTTTTGACAAAGAGCTGACCGCATAAGAGCAGGGTCAGCAGTTTTGGGTACAAATTTTTTTTTTTTTGTGGTTTTTTGAGACAGGGTTTCTCTGTCTCGAAATATATTTTTAAGAAGTTTGTACCCAGCCGGGCGGTGGTGGCGCACGCCTTTAATCCCAGCACTCGGGAGGCAGAGGCAGGCGGATCTCTGTGAGTTCGAGACCAGCCTGGTCTACAAGAGCTAGTTCCAGGACAGGCTCCAAAACCACAGCGAAACCCTGTCTCGAAAAAATATATATATATATTTGACAATTTCAGTTCAAGCTGATCAATGGTGTGATCTAGGCTGTGGTGGGAGGATTATTAATTCAAGGCTGGTCTAGACAACTTATGAGACCCTGTCTAAAAAAACTAAAGTAGACCTAGGCTCTAGCTCGTGGATAGGAAGAGCATTAGGCTAGCATGTGCAGAGCCCTAGGTCCTGTAACCAGAACTGCAAAATAATAAAATAATAATTAGTAATAATAATATAAAGAAGAAAAGAAGGAGGAGAAGAAATTGAAAAATGAAGAAGAGGCCAGATCGGCCCCCCTTTCAGCCCAGCACTCAGCAGGGATAGTGGGCAGTTTATTTGTACTTATACCCTGGAGAAAAATGGCTTCCCCTGAAGCACCCATTGCCCACCAGCAGCTGGGCGTCTTGATGCTGTTTGCTGCTTTTGTTTCCAGTTTTGTTCGAGGCTCTGTACAGTTCAGACAGGCCTCCTCTTCACAACCGTCCTTTCTCTGCCTCCCAAACCCTGGGGTAACGGGAACAAACCACAGCATTCTGCCCCACCGCACAACTTATTTTTATGATTTATTTTTTTGGTGGGCCGGGAGTTCAAGAGAGGGTTTCTCTGTGTAGCCCTGGCTGTCCTGGGAACTCGCTTTGTAGACTAGGCTGGCCTCGAACTCACAGAGATCCGCCTGCCTCTGCCTTCCAAGGGCTAATATTAAAGCCACTACTACTTATTTACTGTGTGTTTTGGAGGAGGAGGCATACGTGTAATAAATAGGACAACCTGCAGGAGCTGGCTCTCTCCTTCCACTGTGTGGGTCTCAGGGACCAAAGCTAGGTTGTCAGAGTTGGTGGCAAACTCTCTTGCCCCCTACCATCTTGTGGGCCCAAGGTCCCATTACAACAGAATAGGATCCGTAGTGTCAGGCTGTAATCCCAGGAGGTCAGTACACGTTCCCCCAGGCTGAGCCATGTATTGAGATTCTGCTTCAAAATTAGGTAAGGGGTCAGAGTATGGGGTGAGAGGGAAGCATTGCCCAGCGGATGAAGGTGCCTGTCACACAAATCTGGTGACCTAAGTTCAATTCCCAGAACCTGCCTGAAGGCAGAGGGACAGAAGCAACTCCAGAGTTGCCCCACCTCCACATGCACACCACACACATTCTCAAAATAAAGGAAAACATTTAAAAACATTAAGAAGAAGTAAAAAGCAAATTAGATATTTAGCTTTATGGTAGATGCTCACTGTGGCCCATGGGACCCTGGGGTCAATCCCTAGTCCCATCAAAGAACAAAGCAAAATTATAAAAAAATCCTGGGGCTGACCAGACACATCTTATCCAGTAAAGGTTCTTGCCACCAAGATTGATCTTAGGATCCACATCGTGGAAGGAGAGAGCCAAGAATCAAAAGTTGTCCCCTGACTTCCACCCAACGCATCAAGGCACACACATAACATCCGCAGATACACACACACACACACACACACACACACACACACACAATACATGAAATGTAATGGAATTTTTTTTTTTTTTTTTTTTTTTTTTTTTGGTTTTTCGAGACAGGGTTTCTCTGTGGTTTTGGAGCCTGTCCTGGAACTAGCTCTTGTAGACCAGGCTGGTCTCGAACTCACAGAGATCCACCTGCCTCTGCCTCCCGAGTGCTGGGATTAAAGGCGTGCGCCACCACCGCCCGGCTGTAATGGAATTTTTAAAATATCTCTGTTACCCCGCAGCTGTGGCACACACCTTTAGTTCCAGCACTTGGGAGGTAGAGGCAGGCGGATCTCTGTGAGTTCGAGGTCAGCCTGGACTACAGAGCCAGTACAGCTAAGTCATCCTTTATTTATTTTTGGGACAGAATTTCTTTTTTTAAAAAAAAAATTATGGGCTGGAGAAATGGCTCAGAGGTTAAGAGCACTCACTGCCTACTCTTCCAGAGGTCCTGAGTTCAATTCCAGAAACCATATGGTGACTTACAACCATCTGTAATGAGATCTGGTGCCCTCTTCTGGCCTTCAGGGAGACATGCAGACAGAATACTATACACATAATCAATCAATCAATCAAAAAAAAAGATTTAAAAATAAATAAATAAAAATTTTGAGAAATTATTTATTTATTTATTTATTTATTTATTTATACAGTAGCCTGCCTATAGGCCAGAAGAGGGCACCAGATCTCATTATAGGTGGTTGTGAGCCATCATGTGGGGAATTGAACTCAGGACCTCTGGAAGAGCAGTCAGTGCTCTTAACCACTGAGCCATCTCTCCAGCCCCTGAGACAGAATTTCAATAAATTGCCCAGGCTTAACTTACTTAAAATTCTTTTTTATTGTTTAAATTTTTAATTATTTATCTTATTTTATGTGTGTTTTGCCTGCATGTATGTATGTGTACCATGTGTGTGCCTGGTGCCCGTGGTAATCAGAATAGGGCATCAGATTCCCTGGAACTGGAGTTACAGATGGTTGTACCTACTACGTGTGTGCCAGGTATAGAATCTGGAACCTACCACGTGGGTGCTAGGCATAGAACCTGGAACCTGCATGTGAGTGCTAGGTATAGAATCTGGAGCCTACACATGGGTGCTAGGTCTAAAATCTGGAACCTACCATGTGGGTGCTAGGTCTAGAGTCTGGAACCTACCACGTGTGTGCTAGCTATAGAACCTGGGTCCTCTGCAAGAGCAACAAGTGCTCTTAAGCACTGAGCCACTGCTCCAGTCCCTGTTTTATTTTTTGAGACAGGTTCTCAATTGGCCCAGAGTGGCCTTGAACTTGCTATATATCTGAGAATGACCTTTAATCTCCAATCCCCTCATATTTGTCTCCCGGATCCTGGGATTATAGCCATCTACCACCATGCCCTGTATTATATGGTGCTGGGAACGGAACCCAGTTCTTCATGCATGCTAGGCAACTCTAGCAACTCAACAGCATCTCCAGCCCTGACCTTGACCTTCTAATAGTTCTGCCTCAGCCTTCCAAGTCTGCTCTACCACAAGCAGCTTGCAGAGGGGCCCATGGGTGCCATGGCACATGTGTGAGGGTCAGAGGACAATTTTGTGGACTCTTCTAACTTTACGTGAGTTCAGGGGCTAGAATTCAGGCTGCCGGCTCACACAGCAGGACCTTCAGCCACCGGGCCATGTCTGCTGCCTGCTTTGGTTCTAAGACAGAGTCTCACTGTGTAGCCCAGATAGGCCTACAGATTGTGTTTTCCTAGGTGTGCGACCCTATGGCCGGCTCCTGCATCTGTGCTGTTGCCATTTTCTCCTACAGATACACACACATGGACTGGAGAAATGGCGCAGCAGTTAAAGGGCACTTGGGGTCCTTGCAGAGGACCCAGGTTCCACTCCTCGCATCCGCTCGGTGGTTCACAAATGTAGCTCCAGTTTTAGGGGATCTGCTGCCTCTTCTGGCCTTCACGGGTACTGCACTAACAAGGTATACAACTATGCATGCAGACAAATATTCATGCCAACAACAAATAAAGAGGAAAGTATTTTTAAAGTATTTGCGGGCTGGAGAGATAGCCGGCTTAGTGTTGGAGAGTGTACATGCTCTTGCAGAAGACCCTAGTTCCCAACCCTCGTGCAGGTGATTTACCTGTAACCCCAGCTCCACAGGATCCAATGCCTTGGGCCTCCTCAGGTTTGTTCCTGTGCTCACATGCAGACACATACCCACACAAAGACACATACATGGTTTTTTTTAATGTAAAGAAAAGCTAGTTTATTACACATGTAATTACTTGAACCACTAGGAAGGAGGTGTCTTTTTAAAAGTAGATGCGCAGCTTTTCACAGGGAGATAACTCGCCGCCTGTCCCACCAGCACACTAAGGCTCCTCTGGTATTGGAAAATGACACAGTTTAGGTTTGTTGGGATTATTTTTCAGCAGCCAATCAGCTAGCCAACCCTATGGAAGAAAGAAAAACTAAAGTTAATAAACATCTAGCTATTTCCTTTCTATGTATAATAAACATATAAACTAGAAAATTAAGTATCTTTTTAAAAAAGACTTTTAAGACAGAATCTCACAGCCTAGCTTGTTTGGAATTTACTCTGTAGGCCAGGCTGACTTTGAGCTCCTGGAGATCCAGCTGCCTCTGCTTCCTGAACTCTGAGATTAAAGGCATGTGCCACCCACCACATCTAGCTAAACAACTTTTTTTGTTTTGTTTTGTTTTGTTTTTGTTTTGACAGGATTTTTCTGTGTAGCCCTGACTGTCTTGGAACTTACACTGTAGACCAGTCTGGCCTAGAACTCAGAGATCTGCTTACCTCTGCCTCCAGAGTGCTGGGATTAAAGGCGTGTACCACCACCAACCTGCCCAAATTTAGAGGTATCGTTATAATCCTGGAAGTTGACAAGGGACCACGTGTAGAGAGAAGATACCCTCCAGTGGCATTGTGTCATTAGGGCTTAGTGGAGGCTGAGGTTCAGTTCAGACTACTGGTCTACCTTAAGGGGGGGTTAAAGACTGTGAGCCCAGGGTAGATGTTGAACTAAAGCAGGAGGAGATAGCAAAGCGAAGTGATTAGGGAGGAGTGCTAACTCATTAGAACCTAGACAGACTGTAGCAATCATAACAATGAAACTCAAGCTTTTACACTTTGGGGCCAGCCTGGACAATGTTAATAAGCAACATGAAGTGGAATTTTTTGCAACATAGTGAAATCATTCTATACTGTTAGCTCTTCATTGGAAAATGATTAAGAGTATGAGTGTGGGCTGGGCTGGGCCACAGCCTTAATTCCAGCACTCAGAGGCAGAAAAGGTGAATCTTTGTGAGTTTGAGGCTAGTCTGGTTTACTGGTCTACACTGTCTGACTGCTAAATAACTTTTATAACCACTTTAAGAATAAAAATAAAGGCTGAGAGCGATGTGAGTTTGAGGCCAGCCTGGTTTACAGGGTGAGTTCCAGGATAGTCAGGACTATACAGAGAAATCCTGTTTCAAAAAAAAAAAAAAAACAAAAACAGCCGGGCGGTGGTGGCACACGCCTTTAATCCCAGCACTCGGGAGGCAGAGGCAGGCGGATCTCTGTGAGTTCGAGACCAGCCTGGTCTACAAGAGCTAGTTCCAGGACAGGCTCCAAAACCACAGAGAAACCCTGTCTCGAAAAACAAAACAACAACAACAACAAAAAAAAAAACAAAAAAAAGAAAGAAAGGAAGGAAGGATGAAAAAGAAAAAAGCTCATACACACAACTAATAAATGTAATTAAGCATTTTTTTTTTTAAGAACCAGGAGGTGGTGGTGCATGCCTTCAATCCCAGCAGAGGCAGACGGATCTTTATGACTTCGAGGTCAGCCTGGTCTACAGAGCTAGTTCCAGGACAACAAGATTTACACAGAGAAACCCTGTCTTGGAAAAGCAAAAACAGTTTAAGATCTGGGGATAGGTTCATCTGGTAGAACGTTTGCCTACTAAATACAAAGCCTTAAGTTTGATCCCCAGCACCTGGTAAACTGGGAGAAGGGACACACATCTGTAATCCCAGCACTTGGGAGGTAAAAGCAAGGTCTAAAGTTATCCTTGTCTACATGGCTAGTCTGGCACCAGCTCAGGATGCAGGGAATCCTCTCTCATAATACAAAATAAAATAATGATGATTATAATAATGACAAATGGAAGCCGGGCGATGGTGGCGCACGCCTTTAATCCCAGCACTTGGGAGGCAGAGGCAGGTGGATCTCTGTGAGTTCGAGGCCAGCCTGGTCTACAAGAGATAGTTCCAGGACAGGCTCCAAAGCCACAGAGAAACCCTCTCTCGAAAAACCAAAATAAAATAAAATAAAATAATGACAAATGGAGGGCCATAGAAATGGCTTGGCAGGTAGAGGTACTTGCCTTCAAGCCTGAAGACCTTAGTAAGGTCCTGAGGACTCCCACGGTGGAAGGAGAAGGCCCTCTCTGACCTCCACACATGTATTGTAGTACTCACAATAAGAACATAATAAATAAATAAATAAATTCAATTGTTGCAACATTTTAATGGAGGAGGAAAAGTTCACGCGCTGAGCCCTCCCTAGCAAGGCCTGTTACCTTGCTCATACCCTCATGAGTGTTCCTGTAAATGACCCTAAAGAAACTCAGTCCAAAGGAACAGAAGACATGGAAGCAGGAGAGGGGCTAAATGGGAGGAGGAAGGGGGGGAGCGGGACAGGGACAATGGTAGGTAAGGGGTTGCACACATGCACAACCAAATACATGATCTCCTAGTAAGTTATAGGCCAGCGAGGGCTAGACAGAGAGACCTTGTCTAAAGATCTACAACAACATTCAAGGCCAGTCTGGTCTACAGAGAAAGTTTTAGGGCAGCCTGGGCTTCATAGGAGACTTCCCCCAAACAATTAAACAAAACCCTTCAACAAAACAATAAGCAAAAAAAAAAAAAAAAAAAAATCACCCAGTGTTATGTGCATCTATGAAAATGTCATAATGAAACTTAGCAAGTATAATTACTATATGCTAATAAAAACAGTAAAAAGAATAAGAAAATGGAGCTCAGTTCATGAGGCTTGCACGGAACTGCTTTATCGACCCCCACCAACTTACCCAGACCCCCCCAACACACACACCCCTTCCCCCCCAACACACACACCCCTTCCCTCCCAACACACACACCCCTTCTCCCCCAACACACACACCCCTTTCCCCCCAACACACACACCCCTTCCCCCCAACACACACACCCCTTCCCCCCAACACACACACCCCTTCCCCCCAACACACACACACACCCCTTCCCCCCCAACACACACACCCCTTCCCCACAACACACACACCCCTTTCCCCCCCAACACACACACCCCTTCCCCCCCAACACACACACCCCTTCCCCCCAACACACACACCCCTTCCCCCCTCAACACACACACCCCTTCCCCCCAACACACACACCCCTTCCCCCCTCAACACACACACCCCTTCCCCCAACACACACACCCCTTCCCCCAACACACACACCCCTTCCCCCCAACACACACACCCCTTCCCCCCAACACACACACCCCTTTTCCCCCCAACACACACACCCCTTCCCCCCCAACACACACACCCCTTCCCCCCACACACACCCCTTTGTTGTTTTGTTTTGGAGGCAGAGTCTCACTGCACAGCCTTGGCTGGCCTGGAGTCCACTGTGTGGACCAGACCAGCCTTGAAGACAAGACACTTTAGGGTCTCACTAAACTGTCCTGCTTGGTGGCCACAGAATCAATACATAGACCAAGAAAGACTCAGAACTTGTGAATCTTTAGACTAAAAGAATAAATATTAGCCAGGTGGTGGTGGTGCACACCTTTAATCCCAGCACTTGGGAGGCAGAGACAGGAGGATCTCTGTGAGTTCTAGGCCAGCCTTGTCTGCAGAGGGTGTTCCAGGACAGATACCAAAGCTACAGAGAAACTCTGTCTCAAAAAAAACAAAACAAGCCGGGCCGTGGTGGCGCACGCCTTTAATCCCAGCACTCGGGAGGCAGAGGCAGGCGGATCTCTGTGAGTTCGAGACCAGCCTGGTCTACAGAGATAGTTCCAGGACAGGCTCCAAAACCACAGAGAAACCCTGTCTCGAAAAACCAAAAAAAAAATAAATAAATAAAAAAAAACAAAACAAAAAACAAAAAACAACAAAACAAAACAAACAAAAAGAATAAGTATTAGCTGGATATGGTGGTGGCATCTTTAATCCCAGCGTTCAGGAGGTAGACGCAAGTAGATCTTTGTGAATTTGAGGCCAGCCTGGGTTAGGATAGCCAGGACTACACAGTGAGACTCTGGCTCAAAAGCAAACAAATACAGTTTTAAATATGAAAACGATACACACTATTCTCTAGTGTGAATAAAAAGGGATCTTACATAAGGGTCTTCTGGCTTCTGCTTACAGAGTTCCGTGAGGCCTTGAAGCAGGGTTGGCGTCACGTACAAATTTAAATAGTCCTTAGCAGCTTGTCCAATTGGAATGGGTTCAATAATCACTGCAAATACAAATAAATTCTCACTAAAAAGCAAATGTAAATGAGTACACACTATATAACTATTAAAAAGGATGTCTTCAAGAGTTGTGAACTGTCGCGAGACATTCGTATCACTGTGAGTTTTTTTTAAAGATTTATTTATTATGTATATAGTGTTCGGACTGTGTGTATACTTGCATCCAGAAGAGGGCACCAGATCTCATTACAGATGGTTGTGAGCCACCATATGGTTGCTGAGAATTGAACTCAGGTCAATTAGTGCTGTTAACCTCTGAGCCATCTCTCTAGCCCCACTGTGAGTTTTAAATTTGATTTTTGTTTCTTCATATTTATTGAAGTGTTGTAATTGTTATCAGTACGGACTTTCTGACAGAGTCTCACCAGAGCCCAGGCTGGCCTGGGACTCACTGGGCAGCCTCGGCTGGCATCAAACCTACGGTGATCTTCCTGCTCAGGCTCCTGGCTCCGAGAATAACAGGTGCAAGGCACCACACTCTGACTCTTTACTGAGGTGTTATTTACACACGGTGCTTGCTGAGCTTGTGATCACACAGAGAAATAAATATAATTTAAATAAAAACAACAAAATAACAAAAACTACCAAACACAAAAGAACTAAAGCAAAACCAAATCAACACCCCCCACACACACACCGTGGCTGCCCAGGAGGCTGCACAGATGGACCAAAGCAAGGCTTACCTGTGGACACTTTAGTGAGATCTGTCTTAAAACACAAAGGACTGGTTGCAGGTTGCAGTAGATGCCTGGAATCCCAGAACTCACTAAGTGGAAGCAGGAAGATCAGGAGTTCAAGGCCAACCTGAGACACAGAGGCCCGTCTCAAAATAAACAGGAGACTGGAGGAATGGCTCAATGGTTAAGGCCAAGTTTTCTTCCAGAGTCTCCCAAATTCCTATCTCAGAGCCCACATAAGGGGGTTCACAGCTGAGTGTAACTCTAATTCCAGGGGATCCAATGTCTTCTTCTGGCCTCTAAGGGTATCTGCACACATGTGGCATATACTCACAGACATAAACAAAAATGAAATAAATCTTAAAAATAAAAGGGCTGCACACTCAGCAGCTCACTGGCCAAGATCTGCCTGTTATAAAGTCCTAGGTTCACCCCAGTGCTTAGAGACAGCATCCTGATTCTTCCACACTTCTTTCTTCCTTACTTCCTTCTTTCCTTCCTTCCTTCCTTCCTCTCTCTCTCTCTCTCTCTCTCTCTCTCTTTCTCTCTTTCCTTCTTTCTTTCTTCTGGCTTTTTTTTTTTTTTAGACAGGGTTTCTCTGTGTAGCCCTGACTGTCCCTGGAACTTGCTCTATGTAGACCAGGCTGGGCTTGAACTCACAGAGATTCATCTGCCTCTACCTTCTGAGTGTTGGGATTAAAGATGTGTACCACCACCACCTGGCTAGTATGTCCATTTCTTAAAGGATTACCAGATTCATGAGTTCAAATTGGATGGAAATCAAAAAGAATCTCCAATGACCAATTTCACAATGACTTACAACTTTTAGGAAAAAAAATTGCTTTTTTTGTAAAAAGACACGTTTACCAAGTCTAAACAAAGGAGCAGAGCCAGCAACGGAGCCCTGCCTGACTGCACTAGAACTTAACTTTACTATTCCTCTGTGTCTGAAACACTCATGAAGGATCATGGATAATTAGGAAGAATGACCGCACAAGGAAGAGCAATCCTAAACACTCCCAGAGAAAGAAGGAATTCCAGAGCGCCCAGGGCACAGCACAATCCATAGGTGTGCACTTTTCAGCTCTGCTTTGTCGGTGTTTGTGTTTATGTGTGTTTGTCTACATGTATGTTTGTGCATACTGGTGCATGCCGGCTTGCCCAAAAAGGTCAGAAGAGGGTGTTGGATCCCCTGGAGCTGGAGTTACCAACCGCTGTGGGTGTTGGGAACTGAACCCTGGTCCTTTGCAAGAGCAGCTGAATCAGCTCTCTGAGCCGTGTCTCAGCTTCTGCATTCTTGAGACAGGTCTCTCTCTGTGTAGCCTACGCTGCCTGGGAGCTCTGCAGATCAGGCTGTCCTGGAACTCACAGAGATCCACCTGCCTTTGCCTCCCAAGTGCTGAGAGTTTGGTTTTTGTTTTGAGTTTGTGCTTTGTTTGTTTTGAGATAAGGGCTGGGGTAGCATAGACTGGCTTCAACAGAGCTAAGACTTTGAATTTCTGGTCCTCCGGAGCTAAAATTAGGATTACAGGCTACTGACCTGTGCCTGCTTTTAAATTCGGTGCTGGGATTCAAACCCAGGACTTCCCAGGAGCTCAGCAAGCACCCCACAATCTGAGCTACATCCCAGGCCCCTCCAGCTTCAAGTTTGGATGACTTACAACTTGAAAATATAATAAAGCATATTTGGAGGAAAATTCTATCTTGCTTTCTAGTCATATCTTCAAAACAAAAACAAACTTTAAGAAGTGACCGATTTGGAGGTGTAGTCAAGAAAGCCCGCGTGAGAAACTCACCTTCTGGGAACATGAACCGAATTTCTCTTTCCGAGGCAGCAAAGTCGTTGCTCCCATGAAGGGCATTCCGTAGCTCATCCGTACCGTAAATCGCCCTTAGACTAAAGCAAGTTAGGGAAGGATGCTGTCCTTCCGTTCTGACAGCCAGGGAAGGATGCTGTCCTTCCATTCTGGCATTTCCTCTACATTATTGGGAGGAGGGGGGGCGTCACACGTGGAGGTCAGAAAACTACTTCAGGGGTGGTTTTCTCCTGCCAGCTTGTGGGTCCTGAGTTCGAATCCAGTCATCCCACTAGGCAACAAGCGCTTTACCGGCTAAGCCATCTCGCCAGCGGTTTCTATTTTTGTCTGCTTGTTTTTAGACAGGACATCACTAGATGACAGTCAAACATTTGTGTGTGCTGGTGGAATGCACTGAGAACAGCCATTCTCTAGGTGAAGAAGGGTGTTTTTGGGAGAAGTGAAAAGGATATATAAATTCAAAAGTGCGACAACTGTTTCATTTCTAGAAACCAGTGATTGTGCTAAAAATTTTGATTGGGGGGGGCATCTTCTTATTATGTATCCGTGGCTGGCCTGGAACTTTCTAGGTAGACCAAGTTAGCCTTAAACTCTCAGAAGTTTGTCTGCCTTCTGAGACAGTCTCAGGTACTGAGATTAAAGGTATGAACCACCATGTTCAGAAAATAAATCTAAAAATTTCAAATTTTCCCATTAAAAATCTTACTTCTGGATCAGTGCGTGGGTTCTCTAAAGCCTGGTGACCCAGTTGATCTGGGACTCACATTGTGGACAGGAGAGGGTTAACTCCCACCAGCTGCATTCTGGCCTCCCCCTGGGCTAGGCCAAAGTGCCCACACAATAAATAAATAAATAAAAGGCAATTTCAAAAATCCTCCTTCATAGGCACGTGTTGTGGCTCACATCTGTAATCCAGAATTACAAAGATACTGGGTTTGGTTTTTTGCTTGTTTCTTTTGCTTTCATACTTTAAGGGGGCTTCAATCCCTCAAGGCACTCTGGGGAAGTTACCTGTCTGGGTGTGTCTCCTTGGCTACTAAACTATTAGGTGGCCCCAGAAGATCTTTCCAGTAAGAGATGGCGTTATGTCTGGCTAGTACCATAGCAACAAGAGGTCCAGAGCTCATATAAGCTGTTAAGTTTGGGAAAAACAGTTTCCCATACTGTTCCACGTAAAAGTTACTACAGTGCTCAGGGCTCAGATGTAGTTTTCGTCTCTGTAAACAAAGTCAACAAAAGCAATTAAAGTAACAGCTCAAAAGAACTCATTAAGTCATTAATAACTTCCCAGACATGGCAGCTCATGCCTGTAATTATCTTTGTATTATTATACAGAAATGATAATTAAATTAAATATGCTCAGAGGAAGTATTTATATTTATCCAACTTAAAATAAATAAGATCCCTAGGCTGATGAGATGGCTCTGTGGGGAGACACGCTTGCTGCCAACGCTGAAGCTCTTAGTTCAACCCCAGAACTACATGCTGGGAAGAGAGAGCCGGTTCCCTAAGTTTTCAGACTGAAACACATACACTGTGTGTGTACATGCACACACACACACACGTTGTTAAAGAATGTTTGCTGAGCATCATGAGGAGCAGAGTTTGGATCCGAGCACCTACACTACCAGCAGGGTACCCACCACACTCCCTCTTCCGGCAACCACCCCCTTGTGCAGGCACGAGTGCATGGCCACCCAGCCATCAGGCACGCTTGATCCGCATAGTGAGGTCGTCTAGGGCTGCAGAGAAAGTCACTGTCTCTAAAAACAAGAACAAATAATAATAATAACAATAACTGAGATATGAGTTTAGCTCCAGGCACGGTATTATAGGGTGTGGAGAGGAATATTCTGATAAACTCTTCGGTCAGCTCCCAAGAAGCCTAGCTCCCACACGACTCTCTTCTCTCCACCACCCAGTGAAGCTGTTTGTCTGTTTTGAGATGGGTCTTGTGTGCCTCAGGCAGGCCTCACTCACGGTATGGCCCGTTTCTGTACCAGTGCACTCTGCTGCCTTCCTCCCCAGACACAGGCAAGCCCCGCATGGGCCCCTTCTGCAGGTTTGTTGGTTTCTGCAGCATAATTTTAAAAATTTTGAGTCCAGGGGGCTGGAGAGATGGCTCAGTGGTTAAGAGCATTGCCTGTTCTTCCAAAGGTCCTGAGTTCAATTCCCAGCAACCACATGGTGGCTCACAACCATCTATAATAAGGTCTGGTGCCCTCTTCTGGCCTGCAGACATACACACAGACAGAATATTGTATGCATAATAAATAAATAAATATTAAAAAAATTTTGAGTCCATCTTTAAAGTTGACACAAAACTAATGATTTTATTGGTTGCTTTAAAACTGAAATCTGTGAGTTCAAGCCTGACTGACGGAGCCAGCTTCAGGACTGCGGCGGGATTTGGTGAAAACTCTACTGGTGGGGCACAGAACTCAGCCTGTGACAAAGAAAAGCCTGCCACCTGCTGGAAAGAGGAAAGCTCAGCGCCTGCTCCGCAAAGGAACCGCACAAATGCCCTGCAATGTCACTGTGAGACAGTTGGGAGAGTCCCAGCCTTGGGACGGAAGGTAGGCTAGTGGTTACCAGGGGCTGGGGGGATGGAAACACACTTCACCCCTTTTAACAATAAGTTCACAGCTTCATGTTGAAAACGACAGATGATAATGGTGAGGGTCACAAAACCACGCGAAGGTGGTGAATACCACTGTCTGCGCTGGACCCTAAAAATAGTATGGTACAATTGATGTAATGGATCTCTTCCAAAACAAAGCAAAAGGAAAAACAAAGTCCCCCCCATCACCTGTGTGTGTGTATGTGTGTCTGTGATATGCATGCCTGTGTACATGGGTATATACACATACGTGGGGGTGCTGGTGTCATATGTGTAGACAAGAGCTCCACACTGGGTGCTAGCCTCACTTGCTCACCACCTTGGATCCCCCATTGAACCCAAAGCTCACCAACTTGTCAAGCCTGGTGGGTTCAAAAGCTCCAGGGGTCCTCCTGCTCCCCCCACCCGGCACTGGGATTACCTACAGGTGTCTACCACCTCACCTAGCTTTTACATGGTTGCTGGGGATTCAAACTCAGGTCCTTGTTCTTGCTCAGCAAACACTGTGCCAAAACCCTTCTCCCCAGCTCAGTTTTCTTTAACACACTGACAAAATAGGTGATATGATGACAACCTAATACTATATAATTTCTGTTGTTGTTGTTTATGAGACAGGGTCTCACTCTGTAGCTCGGGCTGTCCTGGGACTCACTATGTAGACCAGGCTGGCCTCGAACTCACAGAGATCTGCCTGCCTCTGCCTCCCGAGGGCTGGTATTAAAAGCCTGTGCCATTATGCTTGGTTCTGTATAAGAACATTTAAGACAGGGTCACTGTGCAGCCCGGGCTCGCCAGGAACTTGCTGTAGGGATCAGGCTGGCCTCAAACTCACAGAGGTGCACCTGCTTCTGCAGTGCTTGGAATAAGAGCACTGCACTAAGCTATATACGTTTAAAAGGATAAAAAACTAGTAACTCAAGTAAAATTCAACAAAATATTATATTCTATTTGGTATAATCATACATTTTTGTCTTTAGTTGGAGACATTGCCATTCTAGAGGACAGTTAGGAACTCTGTGAAGGCCAAGATGGTGGGGCCCTCAAGATCCTCCAGTCTTATCCTACCTAGTGCTGGGATCACAGGCTTACACCACCACTTCCGGTGCCCGGGTCCCCTGTACTTCAGGTCCCTGTACCCCAGGCTGACCTAGGACTCCCTGTATAATACAAGCTGACCTCTCAATGTCCTCTGGAGAGTCTGGCTTCCTTAACAATGTTTACCAACTGTGGAACAAATATTGGTCTTAAAACATCAAATATTTGCTGGTCAGTGGTGGCACACACCTTTAATCCCAACACTAAGGAGGCAGAAGCAAGTGGATCTCTGAGTTTGAGGCCAGCCTGATCTGCAGAGTGAGTTCCAGGACAACCAGAGCTACTAAGAGAAACCCTGTTTTAAAAACAAACACACAAACTAAAACCCTCCCACCACTGGAGAACCCAACTAGGCACAGGAGTACTGCACATGCCTTAGAAGGGATACATTGACTACAATTTAATGATCCAGAACTTTACCAAAGAGACTCCTGTGAGGAAGTCAGAGAGGATCACTTCCTCTTGTGGGGGAAATGTTTCAATCGCAGAGAAACCCCTGGGAGAGGACAATGCAGTAAACCATTTCCTCTCTCTAGACCTGACTAGAGAAGTTAAGGGATGGAAAGAACAATTCGGCTCCTTTTGTGTCTTATGCTGTATCTTTCAGAAATGGAGAAAACATATCTATTACAAGTAACTTGCTTGTTTTTGAGACAGGTCTCACAGAGCCGAAGCAGATCTGTTAACTCTGAAGTCACTGCATAGCCGGACCCCTGATCCTGCTGCCTCCACCTCCCCAGACCAAGATTACAGGCATGTGCCTACCTGACCAGCTTACATATAACCTTTATGTTTAGAAGTGTAAGCTTAATGTTACCACGGATCTAAATGGGTGGGTACATTTATATACGTATAGTGCAGACTAATAAAGAGACACTGGAAGTTACCTGAATGATGGTGAATCCAGATCTGAGAATAATGTCGCGTATCTCCTCTTCTTTGTCAACAATGTCTGGCTTGATAAGAGCTAGGGTTTTTTCTACATATATCTGAGGCAGGGGCATTGACACCTCCATTCTGGCGTTTCCCGGTATAAGTCACTAATCTCTGACCAGGTATCCACTGCAATGACACGCGCTCCCGTCCCAAATTCGACCCGAGGCAATACTTGGTGTTAGGGTTGACTAATTTCTGAAAATGGAAACTGCGTGTCTTCCTACAAGCAGTCCCGAAGAATATGACTTGTACAAAGCCCAAGTGGAACCCTGGCCGCTTCAATGAGGCTGGATGGCGCCATCAGTGGGTGGGGAAGGTTCTAGCCCGCTGCCCTAGCGAGGGGTCCCCACCCCTCAGGAACTGCTTTGCACAGGCTTAGACGTGACTGCAAGGCAGGGTCCCCAAATCCTTAGGAAATCTCCAGGCTATACCCTCCCCGCTCTCCGTTCAGGTGTTGTCAAAACCCGTTGCTAAGAAACCTGAAGCTGCTTTTCCAACGGTGGCTGCAGAGGGCCAATCCCAGCAGCGTTTTTCAGGCCGTGAGAATTTTATTGTGTGTGATGTGGTGGTAAGAAAACAACTTCGTGTAATCAAGTCTTTCCGTGTTTGCGGTTTCCAGTGATGGTCCTCATGTGGCGGGGCCTGTATGCAAGCCTCTTTACCCACTGAACCGGAGTGCCAGCCCTCCTCTAATTGATCTTCTTCCTCGGACCTACTTGAAGAATGCTTGATTTATTCACACTTCTTAAATGAGATAAATCAGACACTCCTCTCACCGGCTCCACCCCTCCCAGACACCATGTGAAAGATTAATGCCAAGTTTATTTCTTTTTTTTTTAAATATTTATTTATTTATTATGTATACAATATTTTGTCTGTGTGTATGCCTGCAGGCCAGAAGAGGCCACCAGACCCCATTACAGATGGTGTGAGCCACCATGTGGTTGCCGGGAATTGAACTCAGGACCTTTGGAAGAGCAGGCAATGCTCTTAACCTCTGAGCCATCTCTCCAGCCCCCCAAGTTTATTTCTTAACACTACTTTCTCTTTTCTTCATTTTTGGCCTGCCTTCCCTCCCTCCCTCCCTCCCTCCCTCCCTCCCTCCCTCCCCTCCTCCTCTCTCCTCCTCCTCTTCTTCTTCTTCTCTCCTTCTCTTTCTTCTCCTCCTTCTTCTTCTCCCCCCCCCCCCCTTTAGGAGGTGATGGTGTTAGTGCTGGGATCAACCCTAGGGCCACCTCCTCCTCCTCCTCCTTCCCCCACCCCTCTCTTTAGGAGGTGATGGTGTTAGTGCTGGGATCAACCCTGGGGCCACCTCCTCCTCCTCCTCCTTCCCCCACCCCTCTCTTTAGGAGGTGATGGTGTTAGTGCTGGGATCAACCCTGGGGCCACCTCCTCCTCCTCCTTCCCCCACCCCTCTCTTTAGGAGGTGATGGTGTTAGTGCTGGGATCAACCCCGGGGCCCATTCTAGACAAGCACTCAACACTGGGCCATCCCCAGCAAATACCTTATTTGTTTCACCACTTGATGCTGTGCTTTCTATCCCAGCTTCTTTAATTATTTGAAACAGTCTTTGTAAGGTCTGGGGGCACATACCTCTAATCCCAGCATTCCATTGGAGGGAGTGGCTGAATGCTATAGAGATTTCCAGGAAAGCCTGAGTTTAAATGTTCTGAGACCTGGCTCAAAAACCAAACAAAGCTGGGCGGTGGTTGCTCACGCCTTTAATCCCAGTACTGGGGAGGCAGAGGCAGGCGGATCTCTGTGAGTTCGAGACCAGCCTGGTCTACAACAGCTAGTTCCAGGACAGGCTCCAAAGCCACAGAGAAACCCTGTCTTGAAAAACCAAAAAAAAAAAAAAAAAAAAAAGAGAGAGAGAGAAAAAACAAACAAAATCTTTGGCTTGTAAAATATTTATTTATAGAGAAGCAAAAGGTAAAAGGTTCAATTAAATCACTTCTAAATCTATGCAACAAAAATATGGGAAATATTTACATCATAAACCTGGATCTCAGCACCCCACCTCCAGCCCTTTAAAATATTACAGCTGCAAGCACCATTGACTGCTCGGTAAGGAAGTAAGGCTTATTATCCTTATTAGGGAAGGTGATGGAGAAGGAGGAAGTAAGTCTTCAGATCTTCTCTGGCCAGGTTTCAGAACTACTCAGACTTGTAGTTCCAGGCTATCAGAGCAGGCTGCCTTCACCCACTGGATTAGCTGGCACTCACTCCGGACTGCTCGAGTCCTTCCGTTTGTCTAACCAAGTACTCAGCACCTACAGGGGCAAGGCCAGACACAAACCAAGAACCTTAAAGCCACATAGGAAATGTGCAATTTCACCTATTTTTTTTAAAGATTTATTTATTAAGCATACAATGTACTGCTGGCAAGGAAGGCACCAGGTCTCATTACAGATGGTTGTGAGCCACCATGTGGTTGCTGGGAATTGAACTCGGGACCTCTGGAAGAGCAGCCAGTGCTCTTACCCTCTGAGCCATCTCTCCAGCCCCCTCATCTATTTTTTAAACGCATAAAAATAATGCTTTTAATCCCAGCACTCGGGAGGCAGAGGCAGGCGGATCTCTGTGAGTTCGAGACCAGCCTGGTCTACAAGAGCTAGTTCCAGGACAGGCTCCAAAGCCACAAAGAAACCCTGTCTCAAAAAACAAAAACAAAAAAGCATAAAAATATTAATTTTAATGATAAAACTGAAAAACTGAAAAAGATTCATGTAGTGATATTAAGAATTTGATTGTATTCTAAATAACTTCAATTTTTTGATAACCCATTAATTTAATAATTTCATCTATTTTATAGGCAAAAATCCCCATTTATTTTATCATTAAAGTGTGATGCTTCCCCAAAGAAAAATCCTTACGTCTCCTTGACCTTACTCTGCCTATCCCCCAAAGGCGGCAACTATTCACGTACATTATTTGCTAATGGACATGAGTTACATTACAGCAGCTGTAGCAACCAGGACATGGACAGTGGACCCAGCACTTGACTTGCTTTTAAGTTTTACAACTTGGGCCTTTGAAAGCAGAAGTTCCCATTACTTGCTCAGTTCCTGCTGTCTTGCTGCTGACCTTCCCAGATAACCTCTTGCCAGTGCTAAATCTGGACCTTCTAAGACAGGGTTTACCAACCCTGAGGGTCCTTCAGTCATCTCTGAACACAAGGTCACTCACTCCACATCATCTCTAGTCTCACAGGCTTCTTACATCCGATTCCAGAAACTCCATTCCCCGTTCTTATGGCACTGTCTGCCACAGTACCTGCATTTGCTCCAAGACCTCACGCTGCATCTCCACGGCCATATGGTAGATGTGATGGTCAGAGTCATTGTACATCACAGCATTTTGGAACATCAGCATCAGGTCCCGCTGGAACTCAGCCATGGTGTGAATGCGTCCCTTGGACAGATTCCTCTTCAGGGTTGTTAAGTCCATGGGTCTGCAGGAGCAAGAGGAAATCAGCCCTAATGTGTAAGAGCTAATGAACCGGAAGCTGAGACAGGGGAATTATCATGACTTTGAGTTACAAGACAGCAAGAGTAAGACTCTCTCAAAATAGACAGACAGACAAAAAATGTGGTGTTTGTAACAAGCTCTTTGAGAATTTGTCTTTATTTGTTGTTTTGTCAATAGGGCATAAGCGAGGGTCATCTGGGAAGAGGGACCCTCAACTGAGAAAATGTCTCTGTTAGACTGCTCTGTGGGCATGACTGGAGCATTTTTTTTTAAATTAATGATGGATGTGGGAGGTCCCAGTCCACTGTGGGTGGTGCCACTCCTGGGAAGATGGCCCTGAGTTCTGTAAGTAAGCTGAGCAAGCCAGGAGGAGCCAGCCAGTAAGAAGCATCCCTCCGTGGCCTCTGCCTCCAAGTTCCTGCCTCCAAGTTCCTGACTTTAATTCCCATCCTGATTTCCCTTGATGATAGAAAAAACCTGGAATATGGAATAAACCCTTTTCTCCCAAGTTGCTTTTGGTCATGGTGTTTATCACAGCAATGGAAAGCAAACTACAAGAGAGGCAATCATAACAATTTTCATAAAATAATAAAGCAGTAGCTGCAGATACTGATCCCTTATAAAGGCCAAGCACTACGTTGAGCACATTCTACGGTAAATTATACACAGTGTAGGTATTACTTGTCAGCAGCAGCAGCATTTTGGAGGCACTGGGTGTTGAACCCACGGCAGTGGTTTTCAACCTGTGTGTCAAGATGCTTTGGGAGTCGAACAACCCTCTCACAGGGGTTGAATATCAGATATTCACATTATGATTCATAACAGTAAGCCAAATTACAGTTAAGAAGTAGCAACAAAATAATTTTATGGTTGGGGGTCACTACAGCATGAGGAACTGTATTAAAGAGTTGCGGCATTAGGAAGGTTGAGAACCACTGACCTAGGTGGAGCCTTTCATATATTAGGTAAGCACCCTCCCATTTAGCCTTTATCCCAGCCCTTCTTTTGCCTTTTAGAGACAAGATCTTATGAAACTGCCAGGCAGGCCTTGAACTCGCCGTCTTCCCGCACTGTGTCAGGGAGTGAGAACTGCCGACTTGATGACACAAGGCCCACTGTTACTACTGTTTTTAATGCACCATTTTATTGGACACAGTGAGATACCTTTCATCCAACATTTGAGAGGCAGAGGCAGGTCTGTCTGCCTTCCCATTGCTTATGCTGGCCTTCAACTGGTGATAATCCTGCCTCACTTTCCAGAGTAAAGATAGGGACATATGCTTTCCATTAGACAGATGAAGAAAATGAGGTCTGAAGAGATTACATGCTGTTTTTTTCTGGCTGTAACCATGGCAGTGCCAAAGAGAAGGAAAAGGAGGCTCCTACTGTGCCAGAAACCCTTAGTTGAAAAAGAGATCTCAAGAGTTGGAAGGAAATGTCCCCAGACGCTGCCCCAAAAGACAAAGAGGACGCTTACTGTGGAAGAGCATGCACTACCACAAGGAACCCAGATGTACAGAACCCTTGCTCCTAAGAATCCCAGGCGTCAACGTTGTGGTTTGAATGTGAAATTCTCCTAGTCCACGCATTTGAACAATGGGCCTCATTGTTGAGGGAGCTGCTTGAGAAGGTGTAGAACCTTTAGAAGGCAGAGCCCTGCTGGGAAGAAGTGCACACGCTTCCTGTTCGCGCGCTCTCTGCTTCCTGTGTTGCTGCCACCATGTTTTCCCTGACTGTATCTTACTGACACTGTAAGCCAAAATAAGCCCTTCACCTGGTAAGTTTCCTTTCTGTTGGTTGGTTGCTTTTTTGAGACAAGATCTCTCAAAATGGCCCTGGCTGTCCTGGAAACCTGTGTAGACCAGGCTGGCCAGAACTCAGAGATCTACCTGCTTCTGCTCCTCTGAGTTTACCATCACACCCAGGTCTAAGTTGATCTTTTGTTTGTTTTGGTTTTTTGAGACAGGGTTTCTCTGTTTAACAGTCCTGGCTGTTCTGAAACTGCTCTGTAGTCCTGGCTAGTCTCAAACTCACAGAGATCCACCCACCTCTGCTTCCCAAGTGCTGAGATTGAAGGTGTATGCCACCACCACCCAGCTAAATTGATTTTTTTTTTCCAGAGTATTTTTTATCACAGCAACAGAAAGTAGCTAAGACAGAAACTGGCACCAGGAGTCGGGCAGTTTCTATAAGCCTGACTATAAGGTTCTTAGGTCTTTGAAACTAATTAGGAAATGAAAAAATACTTTGAAATTTGGGCTAGGAAGGCCTTTAAATGTGGTAAGAAGAGCTTTATAGGCTCTTCTGGTAGGAGTCTGTAAGACAAGCAGAGAAACATGCAGACTGGAGAGGCTTGGTTCATGAAGATTCATTCAGAGATGAGCAGGGATTCTATTGGGAACCGCAATGAAGGCCATTCAGGTTTTATTCCGGCAAGGAATTTGGCTATATTCTGCCAATTCTAGGCACGTGAGAGAGGCTGAATTAAAAAGTCATGGACTAATTTGTTTGGCAGAGGAAATTTCAAGGCAGGAAAACATGAGACTCTTTATTGCTCACTGCTTTCATCCATGTCTGCAGTGAGAGGAGTAGAAAAGAGAAAACCGTGAAGTCTGGCAAGGAAGGGTGCACAAGATCAGAGCTGTGAACAAGGAGAGTGCAGGCCATAAACACATCTAATTGATAAAGAGATGAGTGCCATTAAAGAGAAACCTCTTATCTGCACTGAGATGACAAGGTGTCGCGGAGCTGCAGCAATGACTGAGCTGCCCTTGTGTGAAGCTGTGAAGATGACCTTAGGACCATGACATCTCTACTGAACATAGATTTAGACATGGGATGGAGTTGGCCCAAGAGAGAATCTATGTGTGTTCTATATAACAGCAGAACTTTTCGAGCCCAGATGAACACTACAGCACCAGGTGCTAAACAGAGAGCTGCAGGATTTAGCGTTTGCCCTACTGGATTCCAGGCTAGCTTTGGTCCAAATTTCCCTTGCTATGCCCCATTCGTCCCTTTTAAATTAGGAATGTACACCCTGTGTCATTGTAGACTGGAAGAATATGATTCATTTTTTATTTACCGGGGTCACAATTAGGAGAGGGGCTGACAAGATGGCTCAGCAGGTAAATGAACAAACTTGCTGTGCAGGCCTGACACCCTGAGTTCATTCCTGGAGCCCATGGTAGAAGGAGAGAACGGGCTGCTGAAAGTTATGCACTGAACTCCTGTAGCACACATATGAATGTGTGCTACACGCTTACACACATGCACGCTTACACACACACATAATAGAAATAATAATAATAACATTTTTAAAAAATTAAAAACTTAAATCTTAAAAAAAAACGGCGGGGGGGGGGGGCTGGAGAGATGGCTCAGAGGTTTAAGAGCACTGACTGCTCTTCCAGAGGTCCTGAGTTCAATTCCCAGCAACCACATGGTGGCTCACAGCCATCTATAATTTGATCTGGTTCCCTCTTCTGGCATGTAGACTGAACACTGTATAAATAATTAAAAAAAATTAAAAACTAGGTGTGGTGCACATACCTTTAATCCTAGCACTCAGGAGGCAATCAGATCTCTAGAGTTCAAGGCCAGCCTAGACTAGCAAGTTCCAGGCTGGTTAGAGCCACACAGTAAAACTATGTCTTAAACAAACAAACAAACAAATTAGAAAAGACCTGGCCCTGGGCTTTAGATATTTTAGACGGAGATTTTTAAACTTTTGAAATATTGGCACTGTTAAGGACTATGGGGATTTCTTTTTTTTTTTTTTAATATTTATTTATTCATTATGTATACAGCATTCTATCTGTGTGTGTGCCTGCAGGCCAGAAGAGGGCACCAGACCTCATTACAGATGGTTGTGAGCCACCGTGTGGTTGCTGGGAATTGAACTCAGGACCTTTGGAAGAGCAGGCAATGTTCTTAACCACTGAGCCATCTCTCCAGCCCGACTATGGGGATTTCTAAAGTTGGACTGAATGTATTCAGATGACAGATTTATTAGAAGGATAAACTAAGCCCCATGAACTTATGGGAACAGGAACTGAATGGTGGCACTGCTTGGAAAAATTATGGAACTTTTTTTTGTTTTATTTTGTTTTTTTGAGACAAGGTCTCTCTGTGTATATCTGGCTGCCCTGGAACTCACTCTGTAAACCAAGTTGTCCTCGAACTCACAGAGATCCGCCTGCCTTTGCTGTCCAAGTGCTGGGATTAAAGGTGTGCGCCACCACCATTATTCTAAAAGTTTGGAACAATGAACCCCACTGGAGGAAGTGGGTCACTGGGGTAGGCTTTGGGGCTTTACTACCTGTGCTATTACCTGTCCCCTCTCTGTTTATTTTGTTATGTTTTGTTTTTTCAAGACGGGGTTTCTCTGTAGCTTTCGAGCCTGTCCTGGAACTCACTATGTAGATCAGGGTGACCTTAAACTCACAGAGATCTGCCTGCCTCCGCCTCCCGAGTGCTGGGATTAAAGGCGTGCGCCACCACCTCCCAGCTCCCTCTCTGCTTCTTAAGTATAGATACAATATGAGCATCCAGCTTTTTGTTCCTACGATCACACCTTCTTTGCCGGTCTTCCATTTCACAATGGGCTATAAACATCTGAAACCGAAAGCAGAAACAAGCCCTTTATATTTTAAGTTGCTTTCGATATTATCCAGGGTATTTTATCACAGCAATGGAAAGGTAACTAAAAGGGCCAGAAAAATGGCTTAGTGTGTGGAAGGGTTTGCCATCAGAGCTGATGGCCTGAGTTCAATGTCCAGGACCCATACTGAGATAAATGGGAAACAAAATTTAAAACAAAAGAAATAACAGTAATAGCAGCTGTAACTGCAGTCAGTACTCAGGAGGTAGAGGAGGAGGAACAGTAATAGCAGCTGTACTGCAGTACTCAGGAGGTAGAGGCGGGAGACTTGAGAGTTCAAGATCATCTGCAGTTAAGTTTGAGACCATTATGGGGTACATGAGATTGTCTCAAAAACCAGTGGTCTCAGCTAAGAGAGAAGCAGAAATTGGAAGATCACTTGAACCCACAAGTTAAAAACCAATCTAGGTATTGTTGGGGCAGGGAACAGAAAGCATATCCAAAAACAATTTTTTTAAGCCAAGCTGGTTTATATTGGCTGTGGGATATATCTTGAGTTTATGAGTACTGGAAATAAGATAGTCTAATAGATGGGAAATAAAGAATGAAAAGACAGATACAAAAGCAACCGAGGGCCTGGTGTAGTGTCTCAGGCCTGTAATCCTAGCACTTCAGAGGTGGAAGCAGGAGGATTAGGAATTCAAGGTGAGCTCCAACCATTTGAGACCAGCCTGAGCTAATGCAACCCACAGAACAAAACAAACAAAAAGAAAACAATGAGTCAGACTAGCAATGTTGCACAGCTGGTAGAGGCTTGCCCAGCATGCTCTAAGCCCCGGGTTTAATCTTCAGCCCCACAAAAAATGGGCATGGCAGTGCATACTTGTGACTCCAGAATTTGGGAATTGGAGTCAGGAGGATAAGAAATAAGAAGTTCAAGGCCATCCTCAGCTATCTAGCCAGTTTAAAGTTAGCCTGGGCTGCGTGAGACGCTGTCTCAAACAATAACAAAGCAACCAGCCACGCTCTTGGCCCCTTTCCTACTGACCTTTTCACCACATCCTTGTATCCTGGGGCCTGCTTTTCTGACACAGGCTTCAGAAATGGACTGCTGAACCTGTTAAGATATAAACCCAAAGAGGATAAAGAAACCCTGGGGAATCACTCCAAAGGAGAATGATGGGCTAACGACAAGAATACTTAGACTACAGAGTAAATGAGGTCATAGCACTAAGGAAGCTGGAACAGGAGGGTCATCAAGAGCTGAAGGCCTGTCTCAACTACTTATGGAGTTCTAGTACTAGGCCAGCTAGGCTACAAAGCAAAAACAAACAGCATATTATATACTTTTTGAGACAGGGTTTCTCTGTGTAGCTTTGGAGCCTGTTCTGGAACTCACTCTATAGACCAGGCTGCCTCGAACTCACAGAGATCCGCCTGCCTCTATCTCCCAAGTGCTGGGATTAAAGGTGTGCACCACCACTGCCCAGGAGCGTATTACTTCTTGTTGACTTCCCTAAACAGCAAGAATGTGGGGAGGGGGACCCAATCTGTAAAATATTTTAACTATTATCATAATCTCTTTTAGTTAAAGGCTCAAAATTTGCTCAAGGTTTCCAAGACCCTGATTTTTTTCTTTCCCTTTTAAAAGTATTTCTTTTCATTTTATGTGGATGAATGTTTTGCCTCCATGTATATACGTGCATCACATGTGTGCAGTGCCCACAGATCCAGGATAGGGCACCTGAGGCCTGGAACTTGAGTTAGAGATGGCTGTGAGCCACTGTGTGGGCGCTAGGAACCGAACCCTTGTCCTCTGCAAAGGCAGCACGTGTTCTTACTTGTTGAGCTATCTCTCCAACCTTTTGTTTGTTTTGAGGCAAGGTGTCACATAGCTCAGGCTAGCCTCAAACTTGCTATACCGCTAAGGATGAATGTATATTTCTGCTTCTCCTGCCTTGATGGGTGTGTACCACCAGACTTGGCAGGCATATGCAACACTAGAACTTCATGTATGCATTCTACCTAGGAAGCCTTACCCACAGCTCTGAGGACCTGTTACTGTGGAAAGGAAGATCCACCATATGGAAAGGAGGCACATATATTTGATGTGCATGTATTGGGAATGAATTCCTAAGGGCAATTCAAATAGCACAGCATGACTCCTTAGAGACTAATAAAACAGATATAGGTCTCACCCTTGGCTTCGTTCTTAGTTTGGGGGACTCTTTGTTTTGTTTTGTAGCTCAGGCCTATCTCAAGCTAGGGTGCCCTTCAACTTGTGATCACCTTGCTTCCATCTCCTTAAGCTGGGATGACAGGCATGTTAGGTCCTGGCCAGTGTTCACTATGTTCAGATGAGACCTAGGATGTCACATGTGCTGGGCAGGCACATCAGCAGCTGAAGTCACAGACCTGCACCCCCACTCCAACCATGACTTGCAGGATGAACATATCCCCTTCTGTGTGCATATCCAAGCATGTCCTTTGGTTTTGGAGATAATCTCATATTGGAAACCTACCTGTGACTGGCAATCATCTTCCAGACTTGCAAAAGAGTCTTCTTAAATAGGAAATGATCCTGAATAGGGTCACCTTGGCTTAGGTCACTCCTACAGGATACATGACAGAAAAGAGACAGTCGCTTCATAAGTAGTCCTGTGTCTCACTAGGTGGATAACGAGGCTTTCCCAAGGTATAGCGCTCCTAATTAAACATCTGAAGGGCTATAATAGCATAGTCATGACAATGTACTTAATAGTAAAAATATAGTAAACTATATTTTTTAACATCCTTTCTTTTATGTGTCTCTGTGTGTGCCTGTGTGAGTTTGTGTGCATCAAGAATGAACTGGTGCCTGTAGAGGCCAGAGGGCATAGGGTGCCCTTAGTACTGGAATTACAGGTGGTTGTGAGTTGCCTAATATGGGCACTGGGAACTGAACCCAGGTCCTCTACAAAAGCAGTAAGGGCTCTTAACTGCTGCATCATCTCTCTCCAGCACAATGAACTGTGTCACTACTGCCCCATGAAGTGGTTAGCTTTGTCTTGCATTCTCCTTTTTTCTCTTGCGATAGGGTTTCGTGTAGACCAGCTGGCTTTGAACTAGCTATGCAACCGAAGATGAACTCCTGATTCTCCTTCCTTCTTCACATCCCAGAACACTTGAATTATAGGCCTGTGCCACCATGCTGGGTAAGTGGGCTGTCTTATAAAGTCTACTGCAAATCTGAAACTGCTTGTGCCTTTTTTCCCTTTTTCTCCCCACCCTGATGTTTGGAGACTATTCTGAAAATCTATGTTTAGCTCAAGACAGCTTTAAACTGTTAACCTTCAGCTTCCCAAATGCTGGGATTACAGGTGCTTGCCATGCTCACTTGAGCCTTGTCTACTTCTGCTGGTTGGCACTTGTGATTCTACAGAACTGTGCTATGAAATAGTTTGAAGTGGCTTGATGGTGCACACCTATAACCCAGTACTTTGAAAGCAGAAGAAGGTAGAGGTTCAAGGCTACATATGAGTTGGAGGCCAATCTGGGCTACATAGGACTCCACTTCAAAAAAAAAGTTTTTGTTCAGTGTTCTTTCCTAAGTACCTATAACCACAGGAAACATAGTAGATACTATTAATTTGTTCCTCACATATCAAAGAATTCTGTTATGTTTCATTTGAACGTTTGATATTTAAGTATTTTTCTCTTTCACTCTCCCCTGTATGCCTCATTAGGGGTAGCCAAGTTTAGCAGCCTGGAAGCCCACTCTTTGGGCTATACACATACCGCCCCTTTTCTAGGAATATGCCTAGCAGCCTAAGACCCTTACCTGAGCACACTATGCATACACGTGTACTCCTCTCTGAACAATGTCCTAGGAACCTGTTGGCAGCTGGGGATCCCTTCCTGGACCAGGCTGCACACTTTACACAGGAGAAATATGGTATTCCCTTTAGCAGCCTCTTGATAATGGCCGCCCTCTGCTTTCCATTTTAACATTCAGAAGTGGGCCCATCTGCCCTAGACTGGTTCTGGATGCAAACTGTGTCTCCAAACTGAACTTTTTTTGTCTCCCTGTTTTGGAGACTAACCCTAAGCCCTCCTGCCTGCTCGTCAGTATCCCTCAGCCTCCTTTGCACAGCGATCTCAGTTGTTCTAGCTTTTTCCCTAGTTTCTTCTATAGCCTGCATGTGCGCTTGTGTGTGTGTGTGTGTGTGTGTGTGTGTGCTAGCGTGCGCTCACAGGTGGGTACCAAGGTACACTTATACGTATGGAGATCAGAGGACAACTTGAAAGAGCTGGTTCTCTTCTTCCACCATGTGTAACTCAAGTCATCAAGTTGGCCAATAGTGTCTTTACACACCGAGCCCTCCCTCTGACCTCAGTTTTCATTTTTTGTTTGTTTTCTGGTACTAGTGTTTCTTGTTGGCTGGACAAGCAAGTACTCTTCTATTAGACTATATCCTTAGCTATCATAATCTTAAAACAAATACCTACTATAGATTCCTTTCTCCTCATGATACTTCCTGTCCTCGACTAAATTGTCTTTCTTTGCTTTTCTTTTGAGAAACAACAGTTCAATACTTTATCTCACTTATAATTTCCCCGGTTGTAAAGCTTTCTGTTGAGCCAGGCAATGGTGGCACAACCTTTAATCGCAGCACTTGGGAGTCAGAGGCAGGTGGATCTCTGAGTTTGAGGTCAGCCTGGTCTACAGAGCAAGCTCCAGGATTGCCAGGGCTACACAGAGAAACCTCGTCTCAAAAAAAAAAAAAAAAAAAAAAAAGAGAGAGAGAGAGAGAGAGAAAAGAAAGGAAGGAAGAAAAGCTTTCTGTCCGCAAAGTATGTTATGTTACATGTTCTATATCACACACTGTATTTATCCCTCAACATTCTCTCAGTTAGACACGGTGGCACATCTGCAGATCTAGCACTTGGGAGACAGAAACTGGAAGATCAAAAGTTCATCATCCTTGACTACAGAGCAAACTCAAGACCAGCCTGGGCTACATGAGAGCCTGTCACATGAAAAAAAAAATGATTTTCATATTCTTATTTTGCATCGTGTACTAGAGGGTATAAATCCATTGAAACTACACTCCTATCTGTTCAATTTTAATACCTCCTCATAACTATTTATTTTCATTATGTAATATTTTCCCTAGATCTAGAGTCAAATTTTAGATTATTTTATTTTTACTTGATGTGTATAAATATTTTGACTGTATGTACGTATGTGTACTATGTGTGTACCTGGTAGCCATGGAGGAGGTCAGAAGAGGTCATTGGGTGCCCTGAAACTGGAGTTACATCATGTGGGTGTTGGGAACCAAACCCTAGTCCTCTACAAGAGTAGCTAGTATTTCTAACTGCTGGTCCATCTCTCCAGGCACTTTAAATTAATTTATTTACTTATTCATTGAGATATGGTCTCACTATGTATCCCTGGTTGGCTCATAACTTGCTGTGTAGACCAGGCTGGCCTTGAACTCACAGAGATCCACCTGTCTCTGTATCCCGAGTGCTGGGATTAAAGGCACATGCCGCCATACCTGGCCTCACCTGGATCTAAATCACATACCATCATATAATTTTACTATGATCTTTACTCAACTTATCCTTAGATGCTATTATTTTACAGAACCCTATCTAAGCAAGACATTTAAAGCACAAAACAAATTTCTTTTCTTTTTTCCTATTTTATTTATTTTTTAAGAATTTATTTTTGTTTTGTAATTCTGTGTGTTTCTGTGTACATGAGTGCAGTGCCGGAGGAGGCCAGAAGAGAGTATCAGATTCCCTGGAGCTGAGTTACAGATGGTTGTGAGCCTCCGGATATGGGTGCTGGGAAACGAACTTGGGTCTTCTGCAAGAGTAGCAAGTGTTCTTAACTGCTGAGCCATCTCTCCAGCCATTCCTATTTTATTTAATGTTTTTATTAGCATATATTAATTATACATAATAATGGATTTCATTACATTTTTATACATGCACATTAATATATTTAGATCATATTCATCACCACCCCCTTACCATCTCTTGTCCCATTAGTCCCTTTCCATCTCCCAGTTAGCCTCTCTTCTCCTTCCCTGTCTCTGTGTATGTTCCAGTGAGTGTCATTAGGTTTGTTTACGGGAGGTTGGTTTGTAATAGCATCTGTGCCTTAAGTTTCTGATCACTCAGACTAAACAACAGCTCCTTTGCACTAGGTTGTAGAACTTCATTTCTACATCCTCACAGTAAGTATTTAATGTATGCACTATATGTACTGTGGTAGGTTTTGTAACCTCATAATTAACCAACTATGCATATTTTAAGAATCTCTGTCTTATGTTTATTTTACCTCTATAGAGACAAATACCAAGTAACATAAATGAGAGCAAAAGCAAGGGAGTGGGTGTACAGTGTAGTAGACCAGACCCCAGGTCTGTTTCTCTCGTCCCTGTCAATACAGACTACAGACTGAGATAGAGAAGAAGAGCCTGGTGAACACCGGTTCTGTCTGATCTTGTTTTCCAGTGCTAAAACACAAGGCCTTGAGTATACTGGCAGAGTTCTATCAGTGCACTCTGCCTTTGGGATCTACCTCTATCTTCCCCGCACCCCAGGGACTCTTGTTGTTGTTTGACAGAGAGCTTCACTTTGTAGAGAGACTGGAAGTTATTAGGTCAACCAGGGAACTCCTGAGTTCTGGGATTATAGATGTGAGGCACCAAGCTCAGTTTTTTAAATGGGTTTTAAACTTGTGCTTTAACATAAGAATTCAGCTTTCTATCACCACTTAAGATAATTGGCCAAGGCCGGGCGGTGGTGGCGCACGCCTTTAATCCCAGCACTTGGGAGGCAGAGGCAGGCGGATCTCTGTGAGTTCGAGACCAGCCTGGTCTACAAGAGCTAGTTCCAGGACAGGCTCCAAAACCACAGAGAAACCCTGTCTCGAAAAACCAAAAAAAAAAAAAAAAAAAGATAACTGGCCAAGCCTATAATCTCACTTAGGCAGAGACAGTAGGATCAGAAGTTTAAGATCACTCTCAGCTACATACAGAGTTCTAGGTCAGTCTGGGTTACATGAAACTCTGGTTCAACAACCAAATAAACAAAAAAATATATTTGATCAAGCAGACACCATCACCACTATTCTATTGCTTTCTTTTCTTTCTCCTGTCTCCTCTCCCTTTCACCTTTCTTTTTTTCCCCTAAGATACAGAAGATATATACAATTTTCTCTGAATTTAAACATCCCATTTTGAAATGAAGTTCCTTGAAGATTCAGAAGTTGTCAGACATGTTGGCATATGCCTCTAATCCCAGCACTTGGGAGGCAAAGAAAGGTGGATCTCTATGAGTTTCAGCCTGGTCTACATACCATGTTCTAGGACAGCCAGGTTTGATTCCTTATCTCAAAACAAGACACAACAAAGACAAGACTCAGGAAGTTCTAAAAGGACTTCCTTTTCAACTCATTAGGGGGCTCATTAAGATCAGGAAGCAAACAACTGGCAAGTCTCAGGAAGTCCCTGAAACTGAGAAGAGTCACAAGCTCCTCCTCACCAAAGTTATATAAATAGTAAGGACTTCTAAGGAGACTCTCCCATCTACTGATCTGCCTACAAGTTATACAGAGAGATCTAAGGTTTCAGTTTTCATGAGATGTTACCCATGATGGGGTGGGCTTTCAGTGCTCCCTTTCAGACATCTCATTCTCCAATAAGTAACCTCTCACCTATGTTCCTGTAAATTCTCCTAATAAACTCATTAATTCACTAAGTTGGACTCTGGTGATATCATTACTTTGGTCTCTGATCAGTTCCCTGTTGATGTAAGCAGATGTTAGTTTGAATTTCCCCAGTAGTAATGTCACACAAAAACAGGTTCATCAGCCTCCTAGAATGCTAAGGTTAGCCTGACTGTACCAACAAAGCGCGCTACTTTTTGCTTTCCAAAAAATTGTCTGAGGAGAAAATGGTGAATATACCTGTAACCCTAGCACTCAGGAGTCAGAGGCTCGGGCCAACAAGAGCTGCCTAGTAAGATCATATTTCAAAATAAATATATGTGTAAAATATGGTCTTTAGTCCCTCAATTATCTATAAAAATAAGACAATTATATTAACAATTTCCCAAGATACATGCAAGATAAAGGGAGCACATAAACTTTCATCTTAAAGAGCTGGTCATGATGACTTAGATTTATAATCCTAGCACTTGGAAGGTAGAAATAGGAGGAGCAAGGTATCCTCAACTACATAGCTAATTTGAAGCTAGCCTGGGCTACATGAGACCCTGTCTTGGGGGAAAAAATAATAATTTTTAAAAATAGGTTTCTGGGCTAGAGAGATGGCTCAGTGGTTAAGAGCATTGCCTGCTCTTCCAAAGGTTCTGAGTTCAATTCCCAGCAACCACATGGTGGCTCACAACCATCTGTAATGAGATCTGGTGCCCTCTTCTGGCCTGCAGACATACACGCAGACAGAATATTGTATACATAATAAATAAATAAAATGTAAAAAAAAAAGGATTTTAAAAATAGGTTTCTACAAAATTAATTTTGAGACATGGTTTTGCTCTGTAGCTCTGGCTGTCCTGGAACTCTCTAAGTAGACCATGCTGACCTTGAACTTGCAGCAAACTTCCTACCTCAGCCTCCTTAGCTCTGAGAGCACAGGCATGTACTCCTGGCCCTGTTCCAGTAGTTTTTAAAAAGGTATATTTTGTATAATAGTAGATCACTTAGCACCATTTCTTTTTTTTTTTTTTTTTTGGTTTTTCGAGACAGGGTTTCTCTGTGGTTTTGGAGCCTGCCCTGGAACTAGCTCTGTAGACCAGGCTGGTCTCGAACTCACAGAGATCTGCCTGCCTCTGCCTCCCGAGTGCTGGGATTAAAGGCGTGCGCCACCATCGCCCGGCAGCACCATTTCTTAAGTAAATTAAAGTAGCAATCATTGACAAGGTTTATTTATGATTGATACTCTTTTCCCTTCTTTTTCACAGTGCTGGTTATTGAACCTAGGGCTTTTCATCTACATATGAGCTACATCCTCATCCACGAAGGCTCTCTTAATGTCAACAAAACAGGCTGGTGGTTGTTTTTAACATTTATTTAATTTATGTGCATTAGCGCTTTGCTCGCACCATCTATATGTTAGCACTGTATTTTCCACCTGTAACACCTTTCAAAACTTATAAAAATAATTCATTTCACAGTAGCAAATTCAAGTAACTATAAAGAGAAGTAAGTAAAAGCGTGAATCCTAACAACCTTGGACGAAGGTCTATGCTCAGAGTCCCAGCAGTGCTGGGGATCACCTTCGGTGCCTTGTGTGTGACACAGGCACTCTAGCATGCAGCCACACCCCAGTGCTGTACTTACAGTTGCGAGGAGTTGGGGCAGTTGTAAAGGATGTCCACCAGGGGAGTGTCCTGAGCGCTCGTGCCGTCATCACAGTCACCTGACCAGGGCTGCTTGTCCACATCCCAAGTATCCCCTTCACCCTGATCCTCCTCTTTTGAGTCCTGCTGAGCCTCCCCCTGGGAAACCCAAGAAGCACAGGAAACTTTAGAGATTGACTACCTGCATCATAACTTTACTTATACAGAATAAGTGAAGGCAGACCGTAAGGTGAGAAGAGGTCAATTCTATACAGTTACCAGAAAAATCAGAAAAGGATGACTTTGTTAGACAGATCACTGAAGTTTTCAGTGATAATCTGAACAATTTTTAAATGCCCCAAAATGAAAATGTGAATTTAATTCTAAATCTGATGTTGACCTCTGTAGGGAAACATACAAACAAGCCAAACAACAACAAAAACCAAAAAAAAAAAAAAACCTAACCTTTTACTGTATCACCTGTGGTCTTAAAGCTAGCTATTATAGCCAGCCAGATAATATTAACAAGGAGACTCCAAACTGACTGATTATTTTTTTTTTTCTGACTGATTCTTTTAAAGCTAAAACAAACATTAGGATAAACGTTGGCAAGTTCAGGAACACTGGGAAAGCTGAGTAAGAGGGTTCGGAGCGGGGTGTGAAACAGCACACTGGCTGTTAGCTCAGTAGAGGGTTTGACTGGCATGCTTCAGACTCTGGGTTCTATCCAGGAAAGAAAGAAATCAAAATAGGCCTCAGCCAGCTATAGTCAATTCCTGTGGATGGACATGAGGAGTACAAGCAGGGTACTTCCCCCACTAAACTTTCCAACCATAGGTAGACCCACGTTTAATGTATCTAGTTGTTACTAAATTATGGGGAAAGACATCTTCTGAGAAACCCCTGCCTATTCCAGACAAGAGACCGCCCCTACTGCCCCAGCATGGGCTATGAGGTTAAAATGGGAGATGAAGACTTCTAAGGCCAGAAACTAGTGGCAACTGGTTGTTGCCACTGAGCTCAGACCTTCATTCTGAAAGGTGTATGTATTTCCTGCTGCTGCTCTCCTTTCTGCTGAAAACAACCCTCTGACTCTGTTCTGCCTGTGTTTGGGGACATGCTCTCTGACTCTGTTCTGCCTGTATTTGGGGGACATGCTCTCTGACTCTGTTCTGCCTGTGTTTGGGGGACATGTTCTCTGAGGACATAAGAACAGAGACAGCTGTGGCTGGGATCAAACAGGAGGAGGAAACTCCCATACATAATCTGCAACAATTTTTGTTTGTTTTGGTTTTTCGAAGACAGGGTTTCTCTGTGTATCCCTGGCTGTCCTGAAATTTGGTGTGTAAATCAGGCTGGCCTCAAACTCAAGAAAGAGATCCAACTGCTTCTGCCTTCTGAGTGCTGAGATTAAAGTGTGCACCACCACCACCTGGCAATAACTACTTGTTATGAGCCACGCATTGTGCTTGACATGAGCTGACTTTTTATTTCACTGTTTTAGTTTTTGTTTATTGGTACACACATGTGCACACACACATGAACATACGTGGAGATCAAAGGACAACTTTCAGCAATCTGTTTTCTCCTTCCAGCATGTGTGTTCTAGGGACTGAATTTAGCTCGCCCCTAGCCCTGTTTTGGGTTTTAAAACAGGATGTCTTATAGCCCATGCTGGTTTGAAATTCATTGTATAGCCAAGGGTGGCCTTGAACTTCTGGTCCTCCTGCCTTAGCCTTCCAAGTGCTGGGATTACAGGGATGTGCTACAATGTCTGGCTGCATTCTTGCAATTAAATAAATCTCACCAAAAAAAAAAAAATCTTTAAAGCAGAACACTAATCTGTTGGGAGCAGAGAAAACAGGGGTTCTAAATATCCAGTAACACACTGAAGATCACATGGCTAAAACTGGTGCTGAAGTCAGACTTTGAACCCAAGAAGTTTAACTAACTCTGTGGAGTCCAGCTGTGTTGTAGCCACTCTGCTCCGCCTCCCTGTGTAACCAGGTGATTTAAGTTGTTTACCTCTTCACTCTCTGTGGGCAGCCCCTCTAGGGTATAATATCTGTGGGGGCTGGAGCTGCCTTTGGCTTTCCATATTCTCTCAGTAGCTTCTTTTCAGCCACTAAATCTAGCTTGGCTACAAGCTCTTCAGTCTGTCTGCAGGGCTCCTCTTTCACTTTGGTAGTTTCCATCTCCCTTCTCTCCTGTTGCCTGGTACCAACCAGATGAAGGACAACAGTTTCCCCTTGAGTCTCTGCTGCTAATGCACAATGGCTCCATTAAATAAGCTACCTGCAATCAAAGTTTATTATTAGATGCATAGGAACAGCAATGGAAACCAGCATCCATACATCAGTGATGCTACATGCTCACACTGTCAGTAGGACTAAGTCTAGGATGGCAAATAGATTTAACCCATTTAATCATTCAATTATTAAATGTTATCAAAGGCAGTGGGTCATAGTGAACATGTAGACATAATTCTTAGCTCTTTAAGATTATGGTATAATTTTTGATCTCAAGTGTCAATTGTGATTAATTGGGAATAGCTGTCTAGAAAACTTAAACTCTTTTTCTTTTATAGAAGTGGCAACATTTGAACTAGATACTTGCTGAACTTGATGTACATTCTCTTGAACATGTTCCTTTGCAGTTGCAGAAAAAATGTAAATTCACTGTTCCAATATGTTGGTCCTCAGCCCTTAACCAAGGTAATGACACTTGGACAACAAGGATATTCATGATAAGGCAACACTGCATATAAAAATTCTACTTCCTGGGCTGGAGAGATGGCTCAGTGGTTAAGAGCACTGGCTGCTCTTCCATAGAACTCGAATTCAATTTCCAGCACCCACATGGCAGCTCACGACTGTCTGTAACTCCAGTTCCAGTGGATCTGATACCTTCACGCCAATGTACATAAAATAAAATTAAATAAATTGTTAAAAAAAATTCTACTTCTGAGCTGGAGAGATGGCTCAGAGGTTAAGAGCACTGATTGCTCTTCCTGAGGTCCTGAGTTCAATTCCCAGCAACCACATGGTGGTTCACAACCATCTGTAATGAGATCTGGTGCCCTCTTCTGGCAAGTAAGCATACATGAAGATAGAACACTGTATACATAATAAAAATCTTTTTAAAAAATTCTACTTCCTAAGACCCAGGGGCCTAAAGACTGTGGATTTAGGACATTCAATTGCAAACTATATATTTGGCCCATATTCTATATCAGCATCAGGTGCTGGGGGCATAATAACCAGCCACTGCCACAGTGGTACTTGTATTTTGTTTTTATTTTTTAAAGATTTATTTTTATTTACTGGGCATGGTGGTGCATGCTTTAGTCCCAGCACTCAGGAGACAGAAGCAGGCAGATCTGTTTCAGGCTAACCTGGTCTACATAGTGAGTTCCAGGACAGCCAAAGTTACATAGTGAGACCCTGTCTTAAAGAAACATACATACATACAAAAAAAATTAAATTTTATGTGTGTGTGTTTGTTTCTGAATACATGACACATGCATGTGTGTGTCCTCAGAGGCCAGAAGAGGGTATTGGATCCACTGCAACTGGAGTTACAGGCATTTGTGAGCTGCCTGATGTGGGTGCTGGGACCCAAACTTCAGTCCTCTGCAAGAGCCCACTGAGCCATCTCTTTAGTCCCAAGCCTTTGTTTCAGTAAACAAGACTAACAGTAGTAGAAACATGCAAGGGTAACAAGCGTTCTGGTAAGAAGTTGGGTGGGCCAGGGCGGCGGCCCTGCAAATGTCAGCCCTTGGAAAGCTGAAGCTGAAGCTGAAGCCGGGTTTCTGGGCTAAGCAGCCAGATCTGATCTCAAAATGAGAGAAAAGAGAAGGTGAAAGGAAGCGAAGGGGAAGACAGTGAAAGGGGAAAAGAAAAAGAAAAGGGGTAAAGTGTGATCTTTTCAGCTGTGGAAATAATAGCCTCACCATTACCTCAGAGAGGAAGTGAAGGAGGTTCTGGCTGTTGCCTTGCTCTCCCTCCTCCTGAGATTCTTCACTCTCGACATCTTCCACAAGGAACTCACTAGATTCTTTCTCTGGGATGCTTTCCTCTAGTTCTTCAGCCTCTACATCTGAATTCTCAGTTTCCCTCCAATTGCTCATATCAAGATCCAGACTGGAGTTCCAGGAGCTGAGGGCAGACCTGTACTTGTTGCTCAGTTCAGAGTTCTCAGGGCCATTGCGACCAGAGTTCATCCAGACCCACTTGCACCGCACCTGTAAACACATAGAAAAGATGCATTAACTCAAATAAAAACAAATTAATTCAAATCAACACTCCCAGTACACTGCTATGTTCCAAGTTCATAGAAAGGGTCTTGAAATTTCTTTCATTAGGAGGCACAAGAGCCAGCTAAACAAAGACATTAGATGAAAATTTATCTTTTGGATAAAAAATAGCTTGTTTATATTACCCCATTTTCAAACTTGATTTCATACTGGACAAAAATGGGGTGAAGAATTGGAGCATACTTGGCTTACAGACTTGCTTTATCACCAGATATCCATGGACTCAGCAAGGCAAAAAACTTGAGGATTAGATTTTCCTCAGTATATACAACTTTTAATCTATTATTAATTTATTAATCATTAGTCTCAAAACACTTGTGGTTACCTTTGGCATCCTTCTGGTCACATCTGACTGTCAGAATAAAAACAGAAGCACTTATTCATTCATTCATTTGGAAATTTTATTATTTTTACGTGGTGTGTGTGTAAATGCCGTGTGTGTAGGTGTCCATGGGCCAGTAGAGGGAAGGATTGGATCCCTTGGATTAGAAGTGGTGGCAAGCCACCTGATGTAGGTGCTCTGACTCGAACTCAGGTCCTCTGGAAGAGCAGCACTGTCTTTTGCAGTTTTTCTTTCTTCTAAAGCCAGGTTGGCACGTAGACTGGCTTCACACTCAGTAGGTAGCCGAGAAGGACCTGGTTTATGTGCTGGCAAAACGGAATCCAGGGTTTCAAGCATACTAGGAAAGCTAGCTACAGACCCAGCATCTAGCCATAGCTTTCAATAGATTCTTGAGTTCTTGGTCTTCTGCTTTGCCATTAAATTCAAGTTTCAACTTTTTTCTCTGTTCAAGTTGCTCCCTTGATTTTTACAAAGTATTTAAAATTACCACTTATGTATATATGCCAGTGTGAAGTACTTGCACCTTAGTTGCTGGAGTTAACAGTTGTGAGCTGCCTGATGTGCTAGGACCTAAACTCACTTTCTCTGCAAGAGCACCATCCCCTGCCTTTTGTGTCTTGCTATATATATCCTCAAACTCAAAATTCTACTTAAGTGTCCTGAGTGTTGGCTGGAATTACAAAGCTGCATCACCGTGCCTAATCCCTACCGCTGAGGCAGGAGTGCCTTTTGTCTCATCTGTACTTCACTCCTCAACAGCATGAGTCCTAACTATGCCTCCTTAGTTTTGCCCCCAATAGTTACTATCTTGGTAAACTCATGCATCAGCTTTTCTACCAAACGAAAATTATTTTTAGAATACTTTATTGACAAACTTTCCCTACTTAAAAACTTTAAAAATTTTTATTTATTGAGGCTGGGTCTCACCATGCAGCCCTGGCTGGCTTGGCACTCTCTGTAGACTAGGCTCGCTTGTGACTCAAGAGATCCACCTGCCTCTGCCTCTGGAGTGCTAAGATTAAAGACATGCACCACCATGCCCAGCAGTTTTCCAGCTTCTAGTGCCTTGGTGTTTGTAAGGCATGCCTGTCTGTGGACTGCTTTGAGACTCATTTCATATTCTAACTCCTGGACGGACTCAATTCTATTTCATCTCAAAGACTAACTTCTCCCTTAGCTTAGCAAACTTTACATTTCTGAACAGGGTCTTGTATATCACGGGTGACCTGAACTTTGCTATGTAGCCAATTATTAGTTTGAACTGATGCTCCTTTATCTACTTCTAGTGCCAGGAATAGGCTTGGGTCACAACGGTACATGAAGAACTAGGACTCAAAGTAAACTCTAAACTACATCCCAAACCCTCAAATTTACAAACAGTTCTATTTTAGGCAGTAATACTTGTGACTTCTAGGTACTTTTTTTTTTTTTAAATGACAGGGTCTCAACTAGGTAGCCCTGGCTAGCCTGGAACTCACTATGTAGACCAGGCTAGCCTTGAACTCACAAGAGATCCACCTGCCTCTGTGTCACAAATGCTGGGATTAAAGGCATGCACCACTACACCTAGCTTTAGGCATTTCCTTCTTAAACCTTTTTCCTCGAGGAAGAATAAAGAATTAAAGCATGACCTATTAGTAATTTTATTTTTAAAAAGGTTCATACTAGTTCATTTTACTGATGAATATTTTTATTTAGAAACAGAAGTTAGGATAGATAAAACTAAGGTCACAAGGTTTTTAATACATTTTTAAAAATTTTAATTACACTTGTGTGTGCACAGACACGTATACATATGAGAACGCACACTCCATTGTGTGGAGGTGACAGCACAACTTGTAGAAGTCAGGCCTTTCCTCCCACCATGTGGGTTGCAGGGATAGCAGATCCTGACCCACTGAGACACCATGCAGGCCCCACCAATGTAGTTCTGAGACAAGAGCTCCTTCTGCAGTTCAGTCTGGCCGCAAACTATCAGCTATCCTCCTGCCCCAGTTCCCAAGTGCTAGGGTTACAGGTATGAGCCATGCTGTTTTCAAGTGATTTCTTTCCCCCAGTACTGGAGATTGCCGAGAACTAGTCGAGCTGTACCACTATACTGCCAAAATACACACCTGGCCTCAACTTCCTCTCAGAAACTAACCTTTACATACATCAGTAAGTTTCTGTTGTTGTTGCTTGAGCAGTTCTAGCCCAGTGTGGTACACACACTTGTAATCCAAACTACTGGGGAAATTAAAATTGGAGGATTTTTTTAGCTCTAGGCTAGCCTTGTCAAAATACAGACTCCACCTCAAAAGACAGAAGAATATTGTGCATGAGTTCTACCTACAGAAATACCAATAGTGTGGATGGTGGTGGTGCACATCTTTAATCCAAGCACTCTGGAGACAGAGGCAGGCAGATCTCTGTGAGTTTAAGGCCAGCCTGGTCTAAAAGAGCTAGTTCCAGGACAGGCTCCCAAAAAAACTACAGAGAAACCCTGTCTCGAAAAACAAAAACAAAAGAAAGCAACAACAACAACAATAGCATGAGCAAAGAAAGTTCTGGCATGAAACATTCCTGCCCTATTCTGCTGCCTTTGTCCATGCTAAATCCCTAAGGAATTGTATGAACTAGATCCTGATAATCTTCACATTTTCCAAACATTCAAGAAAAGTCCAATAAAATAGCCGGTATTCTTTTAAAAACACTAATCGCGAGTTTAGTCTTGGCTACTCACCTCTTCTCAGTTGCCGCAAACAGCTTATAAACCCACTCCTCAGCTCTAACAATCCATCCCTCATGATTAGTTACCGTGGTGAAGAAAACACATTTTAAACACAAAGGACACACCAAAGGCCAGAGTTTTCCTTCTGTTTGTTATATACACACACTTCACAGGTTTATTCTTTAAAAAAGTCTGTACACTTCACAAGACAGTACAAATTAGCTACAACCTGCTAGCTACACAGTAGGGCATTAACACAGCCCATGATTTTTGCCCTAAAACAGGCAATTGTGCTACTCCAACTCTCTGAAAAGAGATTTTCTCAGCTCATGTCATTTGGCCCAGGCACCTTCTCTTCTGGACCCATAACTGCTTCTCAGCCTTTTGACTAAGATCAAATGTGGATCTGAGCCCACAAGCCCCAAGCTATGTCTTGTTTATTCCTAGTTCAGGTTCAGCTCAAAGAGGGAACTCTGAGGCTTCACTTCTTCATCTTCATGTCTGCTTCAATGGCACAGCGGCGTCCCCTGGTTCCCCCATCCTAGACAATATCAAAGAAAGGAAGGAAACATGAGTGAGATGATTACATGGTAAGAGACAACATACAACAGGAATGCTGGGAATTTGATTTCGTGGGGGAATGGATCTGCAGAGAGTACCAAAGGGATGAAGTGGAAGGGATTTTCTGTTCTCCAGAGCAGCTAAAAGAACACTGGTGTTCTGTGAGTGAACTGTAAGACTACCAGTTATCCCACCCAGGCCCACATTGTGTGTAAGAACAGGAAGAGAAAATGCAAAGTAGGAGAGGCAGAAAGGGCAGTGGAGAGTGAGGTTCTTGGCTAACATACCTGTCCAGTTGCTGGTCCCTATAAGAAAGGCCTTTCCTGCAGACTGACCCTGGCACTAGTTCCCTAGCACCTCCTGACCGTTGCTTTCCATGAGATCAGGACAATCAGGCTTCTTTCCATCTGCTGCTCTCTCCCTGCAGCCCAGCTCCTTCCTCTTGTGCAAAACTTTGCTGTCTTCAATAGATAAAAGATCCTATTAACTGGCCTTGCAATAGCCAGCCACTCGAATGAGAATCCAGAGTCACTGTTGCAGGCCAATAAGAAAGAATAGACATCACAGTGTTCTGTTTGTGGTACAGGTCTATAGGCAAGATGAACTAGTGAACACTTTGGCTGGGCTGGACCATTTCTGTATTTCTAATATGCAAGGATTAAAATTTTTTTAGAACATTAAGTTGTCAATAGCCAACAGTTAGAAATAACACCTTGCATTTGTGTAACACTTTATTTTTTTCCCCCAAGTTAGTTTCATAACTTATTTTATCCTCACAACATCCCTGTGAGGTAGGCTGGACAGGTTATCTCAATCTTATTCTTTCTTTCTTCTTCTTTTTTTAAAGCCTTATTTTCATTTAATGTGTATGAATGTTTTGCCTGCATGTGTATATGTGCACCACAAGCGTGCAGTGCCTGTGGAGGCCGGAAAAGGGCTTTGGGTTCCTTAAAACTGGAATTACAGGCAGTTGTGAGCACCATGTGGGTGCTGGAAAGCCAACCCAGATCCTCTCCAAGAGCAGCCAGTGTTCTTAACTTCTGAGCATCTCTCTAGTACTCCCTCTTGCTCTCTTTGGAGACAGGGTCTTACTCTATAGCCTAGGCATTCCTTGATCCTGTGGGCAATCCTCCTGGCCCTCAACTCATTATTACTTCCATTACACAGATGAGAAAAACAAGGCCCTCAAATATTATCCAATGATCTTAAGACTGTACAGTTTTTCATCATGGTCTTTCCCTTACTTCACTGCTCTACCATGAAGAGTCAGCCATTTAATTTATAGAGCAAAAGAATAAAAACCTTTAGGCTAGAACTAATATGTTT